GGTCAAAATCCTGCGAAGAAAAGCCTTCGTTCTAATGACTCAAAAATCAATTTCGGACGAGTTTCCCGTAGGCATCTTGCCAATAACGCTACGGTAGGTACGGCTGCACGTATGTACTCATATATCCATGCAGCATCACGGCCGCTTCATACCAATCCCTTCGCTTCATAATTTGCTTAGCAAATGAATGAATACGAGCGTCAGGAACGGTCGTCCATTTGTGGGCGGGCGGGCGTGGTGGGCGTTCGGGTCGGTATGTTGTAGCTTGATAGGGCCCTATAAGGGTACCTTCCTTGGAAAGGGCGCTGCGCAGCGCCTGCTCAGGGGCGCGGAATTCCGTCCTGCCAGGCGTATTAATCCTACTCGTCTTTAGGATTTATCGTGCCAACTGCCTTTAAGCAACGGAGAGAAACAAACTTACCTATGGTTCATCATCTGGGACGGCAAATCTGCTACCGCAGTTTCGTGTTGCTCAGAAGGGGGTAATACTACTTCTATAGTAACGCATCTCTGTTTTTTGTCTTGCAATATTTACAGTAGTAAGTTTTCTATATTGCTTCCTGTCTCCTAAAGGTCCTGACAGGAACCTAGAGTGGCAAATTGAACGCTTGGCATAGAATGGTTACGTGCTGCGGAATATTGCAGTCAGACAACTGTTCAATCTGTTCTCTGTTCAACAGAGGACACACCTCAAAAGTGTCAAAAGAAAATATCTTCTTCTAGAACTACAGCCCATTCGCAACGTTTAGTGAAGACTCAGCGCCGCGCCTACCTCATTCCCAGGGATTCGCAGTCTTACATCCCTGCACGTGGAAATACGTGAATGATTCATCAATTTCCTCTTATGAGCCACCGCTCTTGTACCCACTGCCGTGCTGCACCCAGTTTCAGTACCAAGTACGTAGAGTGACGAGTTCAAACCCCCGAATCAATTATTCCAGGTTTCCAAGTCTATCTACCTTGCAATGCTGACCAATATGCAAGTGCATGGCGCATTCGCGAATTTTCAGGCTTGATGAAATAGCTCGGGCTTCATATGTACCGAAACACTCACTTGATCTGATCTCTCTTCTCGATCATTCCGATCACTTACACGAACTTTCTCCATTTTTTTTTCTTTCTTTCGAATTTGATCGTAACTTTCTTTGCTCGGTGTAGTAACGTTCAGTTTAGTGCGTCGTTCAATTGTTCTCTCTCTCTATAGATATACTGCTTTGCCAGGAAGAATTGATTCGATGTCACCCTTCGGCTTAGCGGTAACACATTGCCGGTCTTAACGACGACGAACAGCAGCATCAACAGCAGTGGAAAAGCGGTGAAAAGAAGAACAAATAGGAAAAGAACACTGGGTCCCATTGCTATAAAGTTGTCGTTTTATACGTTTTTCTTGGGTGGACACTTTCCACGAGATACGTGCTGAGAGTTGGCCCCATGCGTGAGTGGCTCGTGCTCTTCATCGCATCAAGTGAGTTGTTCAATCCTTCTTAACACCAAAAATAATAGGCCGTTTTCTACACTATTGCCTGAATATTGCTGTTCTTGTGTTGCTGTAGTAGTTATAATAGTAATAATAATAATAATAATAATAATAATAATAATAAAAGGATAAAGGATAAAGTCTTCGCCGTTGATCAATCCCTTTGTGGGATGCGGCACGCATTCTACTTCCATTCAGAATCGTAGTGCTTATTGAATGGTTGGCCCGGGCGGGGGTCGACCCAGGACTTTAACCCGGCGCCGCACGAGTTTTTTTGAGGAACATTGCGTTGCTAACACCAGGTGCTTCTCATTGCGAGAGGGGGATGTTATTTGACGTTTTGGGACCCTTAGATTCGTCCGTTTCGATAATTAAGCCAGTATTTTTTTTGTAGTTAAATTTATAACGCTCGAAGTTAATTGTCAGGCTCAGGGTTTAGGATAAGCAATTGCTAAAGTGGTTTCTGAGACCGGCGTCTAAAATTAATTAGCGAAAAGGAATTTATAAGAAAATCCTCAGAAAGAGAAGCTTCAGAAAAGATTATTTTTCGATTTTCGCTCGGAATCTCTCCCACTACACATCACTTGTACAGTCCTCATCATTGCGGACCGGTGGGGCGTGTCAGCCAGTATGAGTGTGCACACTGTTGAAGCCGTTCTCAGCCTTTTTGTTGAAACGCGTATGCGACAAAAAGTGGTAGAAAACGAGTAATACGAAGGATATAATACAGTAATGTCACTTGCCCGCTTCAACAACTGGTGCAGAAACGACTTACCGCGCCAAACGCAGCCGCACTGACGGCGCCGCCACCGTCCGCTATGATGAGACTGTACATCTGAGACTTTATTATTTATTTGTGTTATATAGTTTACTATTTTATTTATTTCATTCTTACTTCGTTATTCTCTAACTGGTGATTTCAAACTAAGGATTTTAAAAGTTAGAAACGCAGTGTAGGACATGTCAGAGAACTGCCGAAAGCATATTCCGCGATGACTGTATGGGCGTTGTGTACCAGGGAGGAAGGCTTAAAGGTTATTGATCTCCGCCCATTTCTTCGTCGATATGGTCACCGCGAACGTGCCTCCAAGATTTCCACTTGCTTTTTTTCGCTGAAGGCTTTTCTACTATATTGCTTCTTTGTTTAATCTTATTCGAGAATTCGTTAAATTTTTTTCTTTTACAGTATGCTCTGCGTACAACGGTTGTCTTCAACAGCGATCTATATGCTTAGGTGATTCAGAATGTCGTGAATATTTGGATAGTCTAAAAAATACTTGCAGTCTCTCGTCAAGCAGTGAGTTGAAACGCAGTTTTTTTACAGCAAAGTCGTAAATCAGAAATGGTGTGGTGATCTGTAAACACATGAATGGTCAAAAATGTACCCAGTTTACCTCCACGGGCCGCCCTGGCTTAACAGACTTGTAAACCCTGTAAAGGTAATACATGCATGATATAGTGAAGCTCATGTACACATCCACGTGAGGGGGGTTTACAGGGTCTAGCCAGGCTTTCAACAAGGTCCTGACCTTCCATTACATTTGCCAGCTTTACAAGAGTTCACTGTGTTTCACTACGCGGCAGGAAATCAAATAAAGAAAAAGCAAAAACTGACCCCCCCCCCCCCCTCTCGAGGCGATATACTTCGCAAAGTGTTGCTGAATTTGGTCATCTGCGTAATCTTGTCCTCTAATCTCATTGTACCGATCTACCAAAAGTTCTGGCTTGACTATTAGATAACTTTTCATGAGAAGTGCTGGCTTTTTTCCCAGGCTATGACACACGAGGAGTCATCAGTGGAGTTTCTCTCTGGATGAACAAATGGGGCTCATCATCGGTTACAGCCGTGCTTGATCAAGTTATAAGTGGGGGGGGGGGGGAGGGATTGGATACACCGGGTGGTTGAGTGACTTAAAGGCACGTTCCGGGATAAGCTAAGGCTAGGTTCTCATGACCGTGCACGATGGTCAAGCAGGCAAGTCAGAGGCTATACCGCTTTCAAAAGTTGTTGTTAAGTAATTCTGTAACCCAGCAAGCAGCGCACTCAGTTCTAGGCCCATTGAGTGCCGACAAGTCCCATGCCGGCCCTCCAGTGACCATGTCGTTGTAAGACTGCCACTGCGCTCTCTCGCCCGTCTTTTTCTGGCCTCCCTCGTCTTTTATCGGTGCATCGCCGCCTTTCGCAATTCAAATTTGATCTTGACCACCTTACGCTCGTCCGGGTGATCATGATCAATTGCAATAAAGAGGGTCTTGTTGCGGGCGCGTTTTCATTGCCTTCTTTCTCTTCAATAACAACAAACACACCGGCCAATTTTTAATTTCCCTTTGAACTGTATAACCTATGAATTGTCGGTCGCTGCGGAACCCTCCCTTTAAAGAGTCGTAATGTGCGGTGTAGGTTGACGATCGGCGTTCAGATAAACCACGAGGTGTGACTGGCACGCCTGCGAAGAAAACAGCTCAAAAATCGTTGGAAACATTTCAGCGTATATACCCTCACCTTTGGCGTCGCACGAGTTTGCCGGTGCTCGTTCAAGTCTTCCAGTCTGCTGACTTACCATGGAACTTTGAATGGAGACCTGGGTAGATCGATAGAGTCTATAAGGTTATTTACAAATATAGATAGCAAAACTGCAACCTGCATTTCACAAGCAACTTATGAGCAGGTAAAGTTTGTAATGGTGCAGTAGGGTGGAGGCTTGGTGGTGAGCTGTGAAGCATAAGCGAGGAATCGCATACGTCGAATCGAGTCGTCGAACGTCGAACCTTACCACTGAACCAGCCACCTGTTATTTGTAAATAACCTTATAGATCAGGTCACCATTCAAAGTTCCATGCTAAGTTGGCGGACTTCCCTGGTTAGTGCTAGTAGACTGATAGAGGAGCCGATGTTGCACCCGAATGCATTTGAAGTGTTTATCTCTCTTCATGTTCTTGTTTATTTCTCTTTTTGTTTTTTTTATTAATTTTTACGTGCAATATCCGGGGCCAACACAAAATTCAATCATATCGGAACATAGTATTTGATTCTCGGGCGTGACTGCGAACCAGATATTGCGGGCGCTATCAGGAAATAGACATCCGTTGGCCTACTGTGGACATTAGCACCTCTACGTCCGAGTATTCGTACAATTCGTGCAATTAATCTGATCCATGAAGTTAATTGACGTTTGCCTCTCCCACCTTGGAATGAGCCATGCATTTTCCCTTCGCAGGAAATCGTAGTGATGTTAAGAATGCGTTGGCATATGCAATGACTCGCGAACTGATGAATAGGTTAATTGTTTCTATAATCCCTTAGGATTTAATTCCAAACAAACCACCTTTTGAGAACAGCCTAGCCAAGGAATCGGAAGACTAAGGATTCGATCCCTGGACCGTGTGCGAGGCCACGAAACTCGCCTTGAAAACTGCTTCATTCATAAAAATTGATGAAATCCTCATCGTGTTTGTTCTTCTGGGAAGAGTCACGGATTCAACTGCAATCCGAGGTACAGAGCCGTTTGAAAGAGTTTCCGATATGCACAGTAAGTCGGGTCTGAGAGATCTACCAGCCAGGTTCCTAACATCCCAAACATCTATATCACTAAAGGAAGTCTTGGTAGAGTTTTGCAGAAGAGACTCACCCTCAAGATTTTTTCCCCCGGTACGACTCCCTCCCTCCAACGATCAAACACGACGCCTATCGCGGAAAATTCTTAACGTTGTTAAAGGCAGTTGGCACGATGATTTGGTGCTCGGCCTAAAATGCTAGTAGGGCGCTATATAGTGGGGAAATGGCGAAAGAACGGAGTGAAACGGTCAAAATCCTGCGAAAAAGAGCCTGTGTTAGCAATCAATTTTGGACGAGTTTCCCGAAGGCATCTTACCAATAACCGCTACCGAAGGTACGGCTGCATATGTGTACTCATATATCCATGCATCACGGCCGCTTCATACCAATCCCTTCGCTTCATAATTTGCTTAGCAAATGAATCAATTAGAGCGTCTGGAACAGTCGTCCATTTGTGGGCGGGCGGGCAAGGGGGCGTTTGGGACGTAAAGTTGTGGCTTGATAGCGCCCTTATAAGGGCACCTTCCCTGGAAAAGGCATTATGCAGCGCCTGCTCAGGGTCGCGGAATTCCGTCCTGCCGGGCGTGTTTGTCCTGCTCGTCTTGGAGAATTTATCGTGCCAACTGCCTTTAACCAGTGG